GGATGGCTGGTTAGCTCACTGGTTTAGCTCACTGGTTGAGTGTGGTGCTGACAACACCAAGTCAAGGGTTAAGACCCCCTTACCGGTCATCTTTAAATAAAATTAAAAAAAAAAAAAAGAAGAAACCAACATTGCCCAAGGAGCAAGATAAGAGTTCTTTATTTTACCTAATTTCAATGGTAATTATTTTTTGAGCAAGTAATACCTTCACGTGGCTCAAACTTCAAAGGGAACAAAAAGATACAATGAAAGTTTCCCTCCTACCCTTGTCCTCACGCCCTTCGGTTCCCCTCCCCAGAAACACCCAATGAGTGAATATATAGGTTGAGCATCCCTACTCTGAAAACCTGATATCTGAAATGCTCCAAAATCTGAAACTTTATTTTTCTTTAAAAGTAATTTATTTTGATCACAAAATACTGGGAATGAGAAAATGCAATGTCAGCTACCCCTTAGTTGCACATCTTCCCAGTCTGTGCATGTATAGATATCCTTTGTACAACACTAAGTTCACACCATCCCCACAAGGCTTTTCTTGCATTGTAACAGCTGCAGAGTATAGTATTTAACCGTGTGGAAGTTTAAACAAATGTCTCATCTACCATGTAGAGCTCCCCTCCAGTTAGTGTTCCAGCTCACTTCTGTACAGAAACTGAACTTGTGTTAACGGACTTCTTAAATAGGAGCAGTGCCTAAGGCCCCTTCTTTGTCCCTGGCTGCCTGTAGCACCTGAACAGCTGCCCCTGGGTCCCCAACATCCCAGGGAGGCGATGGAGGAAGGGTAGGCCAGGCCAAGCATGAGGAATAAACAGTCTATTGGGCTCACACCAGGAGTCCATGGGTCTTGAGGACCTCTGTGTATTTGTTAATTTTCTTCTCCATGTTCTTTCCGGCCTGTTTCTGTAGTCTTATGAGCTGTTTTTTTTCCTTCAGTAATGGATCCTGGCCTTTTCCTTCCTCTTCTCTAGGGTAGCTGTCACTGCCTGGTACTTCCAGCCAACCTCAAGAGCCAGGTATCCCAGATAAGCAAACTTTCTTGTAGGCTTTAGCCACACAACCTTGAGGGCAGCAGGAACCACCATCCACTTTTTCTTGTCATAGGGTGGTGGGAATCCCATTAAACACCCCGAGGCAGTCCAGGGCAGCCTGGCCTCACTTTGTTTTGTGGGGCAGCATGCCTTGCACAGTCCCCAAAAGATGCGGCTGGGGGCCTGGAAGTGGTAGGGGCCACGGCATGGGTTGGTGTTCATTCGCTTGCGGAGAAAAGCTAAGTACTTTAACTTGTTTCTGTAGAAACTGCCTGAAATGTTGATGTCCTCATAGCACGTGACCACTACCTTCCTGCCCAGCAGTACCTGTTCAGCACAATGACAGCCAGGTGGCCCAGCAGATGGCCTCAGCCATTGAGTACCTGGACCTGCCCCTCCGCCATCTTCCGCAGCTGCCTTGGAAAGCCAAAATCCGAATCTTTTTGAGCACTGACATGGTGCCATAAATAGAAAATTCTGCACCTGACCTCATCGATGGGTTGCAGTCAAAACTTTGTTTCATGCACAAAATTATTAAAAGTATTGTATAAAATTACCTTCAGGCTATGTGTATAAGGTGTATATGAAACATAAGTGAATTTTGTGTTTAGACTTGTGTTCCATCCCCAAGATATCTCATTATGTATATGCAAATATTCACAAATCCAAAAAAAAAATCCCAAATCTGAAACACTTCTGGTCCCAAGCATTTCAGATAAGGAATACTCAACCTGTACATTCTGTTTTCTTTCCCCTCTTTTTTATACAGATGATAGCACTCTATACGCTTTTTTGTATCCTGCTTTTTTCATTTAACAATATACCTTGGATTTTTTTCCCTATTAGAAAAGAGGTTCTTTACCCTTTTTTCTATGGCTGAGCAGAGTATCCCATTGTAAGGATATATATTATTTTTTAAACCAATCTTTTATTGGAGGACATCTAAGTTGATCCCAATTTATTTTCACTAAAAATAATCCTGAAATGAATATCCTGTACCGTTTATATGTCATTTTGCATGTGTGTATGTCCAGGTATGAGATAATCCTAAGATAGTTAAAAAAAAAAAGAAAAAAAAAGATAATTGTAAGATAACTTATTAGAAGTGGAATTAATAGTCCAAATATAGGCAATTTTGATATTGCTTTCCATAGAGCTAGTGCCAAATTATACTCTCTCTAGGAATGTATAAATCCTTACTTTCCCAAACACAGTATGTGGTCAATCTAACGTGTTAAAAAGAACAATTCTGTATAGTTTCAATTAACATTTCTCCACCTATGAGTAAGGTTGGGCATATTTTCATGTCTAGAAGCCATTTATATTTTTCTGTAAATTCTACGTTCATATCCTGGGTTCATAATTCTACTGCGTCACTGGTCCTTTATTGATCTGTAGTAGCCTTTTAGATATAAGAGAAATTAGCCCTTTGTCTGTGATATGAATTGCATATATTTTTTCCAAGTTTTCCATGTCTTAACATTGCTTATGTTAGTTTTCAGTTTTCACTAACAATAAACTTTTGAATTTAAAACCTCAGGGCCAGCCCCATGGCGCACTCGGGTGAGTGCAGCGCTTGGGAGCGCAGTGGCGCTCCCGCAGCGGGTTCGGATCCTATATAAGGATGGCTGGTGTGCTCACTGGCTGAGCGCGGTACAGGCGACACCGGGCCGAGGGTTGCGATCCCCTTACTGGTCACAAAAAAAACCCCCAAAAAAACCCCCTCACGGGCTGGCCCGGTGGCGCACTGGAGAGTGCACCGCTTGGGAGCTCGGTGGCGCTCCCGCGAGGGTTCGGATCCCATGTGGAGACCGGTTCCCGCTCACTGGCTGAGCGCAACCGAGGGTTGTGATCCCGTTGCCGGTCAGTAAAAAAAAAAAAGACAAAAAGGAAAAAAAAAAAAAAAAAAAACCCCAAAAAAAACCCCCTCACGGGCTGGCCCGGTGGCGCACTGGAGAGTGCACCGCTTGGGAGCTCGGTGGCGCTCCCGCGAGGGTTCAGATCCCATGTGGAGACCGGTTCCCGCTCGCTGGCTGAGCGCAACCGAGGGTTGTGATCCCGTTGCCGGTCAGAAAAAAAAAAAAAAACCCCCAAAAAAACCCCCTCACGGGCTGGCCCGGTGGCGCACTGGAGAGTGCACCGCTTGGGAGCTCGGTGGCGCTCCCGCGAGGGTTCAGATCCCATGTGGAGACCGGTTCCCGCTCACTGGCTGAGTGCAACCGAGGGTTGTGATCCCGTTGCCGGTCAGTAAAAAAAAAAAGACAAAAAGGAAAAAAAAAAAAAAAAAAAAACCCTCAAACATACTTATCAAAACACTTAGCTTACCCTGGCCATAGCATCAAAGAGGTTTTTAGATAATAGTAGGAAACTTTCTATTACCTCATCCTGGGGGATGACAACTTGAACAAGCCCGTGGAAATCTCTTAGGACCAGAAAGATGTTTTGCCTGATTAACAAAAATAAAGAAATGAACATTTTAGGATACAATCTCTGAGCCCAAAATTTGAGCAGGAACAACAAACAAGTAACAAACAAGAAAACCCATGTGATTTCTCATGTTTCTTTTTTGTGATAATTTCATACTTTCTTTTTTTTTTTAAAAAAAAGATGACTGGTAAGGGGATCTTAACCCTTGACTTGGTGCTGTCAGCACCACACTCACCCAGTGAGCTAACCAGCCATCCCTATACGGGATCTGAACCCATGGCCTTGTTGTTACTATCACCACACTCTCTCAAGTGAGCCACGGGCCGGCCCCAATAATTTCATACTTTCATTAGCTACATTCATGCAATTGTTATCTATGTATCTTATTAATGAAAAAAGATTTTTTTTTCACTTTAATTTTAACTTTTTTTGGCTATTTGTGTAGCTGACTAGTCTTATACAGTTGGCTTATTAATGAAAAAGCAGATTTAAAAATTTTTTTAAAAAAATTTTCATTGTCTTAAGTCTACAAGAAGATTTTATTAAATTTGGAAACTTTTCATATAGGAAAATCAAAGACAATATTTTAGGATATTGGAAACATCTCACTGGTCATTTTTGAAATATAGAAATATAAGGTCTTTTCTCTTCCTAAAAGAAGACAAATCTTAAATAGTTCCAACTACTAATTTAACACCTATATAAACCAGCAAAAGGTTCCAGAAATCCCACAACTCTGAATTCAATCTACGTTTCTCTTACTGTCCTTAGTATCAGAAAGAGAAGCAGAAAGCCTCCTCATATTTTGAGTTCAGGAGGCAAAGTCACCAAATTTACGGGGCAAATATCCACCCTCTTGAGATATAATCATATTCTTTAGGAAGGCCACAAAACCTATTTTGGACTTATGTACTATTCAGGTATGTTCTGGATTATAGAGACGAACAACAAAAAAGTGATTCTTAAGGAATCACTGTTCATGTTTTTAGGGCTTTTCTCTACCTAAACTTAGAATAAAATAAGCTTTCCCCCTCCCCATGCTACTGGAACTCAAGAGATGATTTATAGGATGTTGGCCCATTCCCAATTATTAATCATAGGAACTCTTCAGCCTTAGTAAGCCCAGGATCATTTCGGTCCATTGATGGATCAAGCTTCATTGTCATACCCTTTAATAGATATTACTGACAGTTACTGACATTGACCCTATTTGGGTCTTTCAAAACAAAAACAAAACTTAAAATTCAATGAATTCTCAGAATCCTGCAGGAGTTGCAAAGCTCTTTATTCTTTTGACTAGTCGAAAATTAGTAAAGTTTTGGAATTGCCTTGGGAAAATAACCATCATGCATTCTTAAACCGCCTTCCTCAATTTACCTCCGGTACTGAATCCATCCACACAAAGTGACTTCTTGGCCTAAGTGAGAAGAACGCAACTCTCCACATGTGTTGGTCCGGGCAACAAAGCTACTGAATTCTTTAAGAAAAGAAAAGTTTAAAAGGCAAGATTAGAAATATATCATTTGCAGATTGCTTAAAAATAAGGATTCTCAAATCACAACATCTTAGGTATTTCAGGTCAATGGGTGAACTTAGAAAACATCAGAGTACTATGTACTTTTATTCATCCACTATTAAATTTACCTGCAAATGTGTCAAAAACCAAGTGAATAACTGTCTGAATGTAAAATTTTGCCTTGTGTTAGGAAATCTAAATTTTTTGGATTATCTAGCATTAGCATTGACCTAAAATGCTAATTACCCAATTCTTAATATTACATATTTCTTCCCCAAATGAAATATGATCTTAAGAAATATGATCGTAAGAATTACATTCGTTAGATGGTGCAGTAACTATTTAGCTTTAGTATGAATCAAGTAAGAGCTACCTGTACACTAGAAAACACCATTAAAAGTGAAAAAGGACTATTTATGCTTCCGATCATTAGTATCGACTAAAAGCAAAACAGTCCTAACTATGTGGTTAACGGAATAAAAGCACTGCGGCTGCAGAAAACAGGTGGAAGTGCTGTTCAGAGAACAGAGCTCTTTCGCTGTTTTCACCTGGAATTCTCCTCTGTGAACTCAGCACCAGATTTCTGGAGAGAGAATCCCAGACCGGCTGGGTGGTCCTTCCGATGCTCCTGGGTAAACCCCTGTATAGCTGACTTAACCAAAAAGTGAGGCACATGGCGGAGCGACAGGATGGCGAGAGGCTATCACGAGTCCCACGCTGCCGGTGTTGGACGGTGGTCAAAAGTCAGTTTTGTAAATATACAGAAACCCCTAAAAATTCTAGGATGTCCCACTCTCTTCTCCAATTTTTAAGCCCTCCTCCGCACGACATTCGCGTACACGTGTCTAGAAACTAGAAAGATATTTGAGGTCCTTTGGGGACTGGATAAGGGGACTGTCTCCTCTCTCAGTGCATCAGTTTCCACTTCTGTTAAACAAGGCTGCGGCCAGAAGGGGCAAGAGGACGATTCCACACAGCAGCGCCAGGCGGAAAAGGCGGGTGACCAACCAGGCCCACGCCCTTCTCTTCTTCCACGCTTCGCCGAAGGCTTCAGCAGCCAGAACCGGAAGACGAGGAGGAACGGCCTCGCGTTTCAAATTTCCCAGACCTGGCGGCCGACTGAAGGTCTTCCGAAAGAGGAAAGCGAGGAAATCCGAAATGTTCCCTGGGCCCGAACTCACACACAGATCGCCGCCAGGAGCCAAGCGCCCCTCGACTCTCCCAGCGAGCGCTCAAAATTACTATGAAGGGATTCAACTAATCAGAGCGGCGGTACGGCGGCCATGCTTACTACGGGCGGAAACTAGAGGGAAAGCTTCGTACCGGTAGAAAGCGAAAGTGCAACACCGCGCGATCACGACAGTTGACTATAATGGTTAAGTCGCTCGGCCTTGCCCTCTGTTAAGATGGCGACTTCAGTTGCTTCACTGACATGGAATCGGCTGGGCGCCACGGAGGCTTCCTGCTTCTGGCCGCTGAGTGAGTCGGGAAACGATTTTAAACTGCCGAGGCGGCCAAGTGTGCGGAGGCGGCTGAGGGCCCGCTTGCCGCTTCTCAGTCGCGGGATTTCAGAACTGGCCTTGATCCCTAGAGGGCTCCCCTGGGGAGAGGCGAGTTGGGACCCATCGTCCTTTGTCCTTGCCCCTCCGCGAGCAGAGGCCGACTCCGCAGAACAAGGGTCGCAGGGCTGGGTACCTGGGTCAGCGGGAATGCCCCTCCCGGGGTGAAGTCGCAGAGCAGAGGTCGTCTAACTGGGCGCGATTGTGTCCCTGGTGAGCCCGCTTGTGGAGCGAGAGGGAGTTTGGGAGGGCTAGGGTTTACTCCGGCCTCTCTTAGCTGTCATTTTGGTGGCTTTTTTACTTCCGGGATTTTAGTCTCTAGAATTTTGGAGCCAGGCTTGAAGAACGTTTCGTGAGTCCGGAATGGGTGAGAGCGTCATCACGGTATTTTATTGGTAAGATGCTTTGCACTGGTCCAGCACTGGCTGTAAACTTTGCATTTTGCCCTGTTTTGTGGATATTGTCTTTACATTACTGGTGCGTTTAAATGTATCACACACTAAGTGCCTGGCACAGGGCTAAGCACTGGCGTTGGGGCGGTTCGATTGAGGTATTGGTGACAATGTGGAAAAGTGATTAAGTCAGGGTCCCTTTCTTCACGGACTAGCCACAAGAGAAACGGTCAAGTTTTAGTTATGTGATGTGAACTACAAGTGCAGGAGGAGTTGGCGAGAGAGCTCTGTGGATACCGCAAGGCTCCTCCTGAGATGAGACCTGTAAAATGGATGAGATTTGGTCATACAGCTGGGAATAGGGAAGTATTCTTAATTGGTGATAGGTGAATAAAAAGTCGTGTTTGGCTTACTTAACTTAACATAATTTTCTCCAGACTCATCCATGTTGCTGCAAATGGCAGAATTTCACTCTTTTTTAGGGTTGAGTAGTATTCCATTGTGGAGATATATATGTATATATATATATACACACACACACACCACATTTTCCTTATTCAGTCATCTGTGAAGGACATGCTAATAATAATAATAATAAATATATTTTTTAAAAGTCGTGTTCGCTTTTGCAAACAGGACAGGAAGTGTAGGGGATGCACGTTTGGGTGTAGGACAGTGGTTTTTTTTTTTTTTTCTTCAAGGCAGGCAGGTTCTTAACCTTTTAAAGAATTGTCTGCTTCACCCTCCTTCCCACCTCCTGCCCGCTCCTCAATACACCTGCATACAATATTTTGCATGCAACCTTAAGAAGGATTGTATGCAAAATGTTGGATTTTGGAAAGGTTATTGGTCTGTGGATCTCAGGGTGTGAAGACCTGAAGTAGTAGAAAGATGAACCTGGATAGGATCAGATAATATCGAGGAGTTCTGACCTGGTTTCGTTTAGATGTGTGGTAATTGTTTTGGAATTTCAAGATAAAAGATACAAGCTAAAAGTTGTGTCTATGGAAAGACTAGTCATGGATTTGGAAAGGGGCTAAGATTGGGATCAAGATAAATGGTTATAATTGAGAATGGAAGTGATGGCCAAATTTGAGAGGGCTAATATACGTGTATTTCTTTAAGAAATATGTCAGAATTTGATGATAAAGTTAACTTTTTAGATGTAAAGATGAAGTTGAGGGAAGAGTAAACGATGACTA